CTCCATTGAGGGAGAGACTGGGTCTCAGGACTCCATTGAGGGAGAGAGAGAGAGACTGGGCCTCAAGACCCCATTGAGGGAGGGAGGGAGAGAGAGAGAGAGACTGGGCCTCAGGACCCCATTGAGGGAGAGAGAGAGACTGGACCTCAGGTTCCCATTGAGGGAGGGAGGGAGAGAGACTGGGCCTCAGGACCCCTTTGAGGGAGGGAGAGAGAGAGAGACTGGGCCTCAAGACCCCATTGAGGGAGGGAGAGAGAGAGAGAGAGACTGAGCCTCAGGACCCTGTTGAGGGAGAGAGACTGGGCCTCAGGATTCCATTGAGAGAGAGACTCAGCCTCAGGACCACATTGAGACCGGGCCTAAGCAAGACTCAAAGCTGATTGGTTTGTGAAGTTGGAGAAGCCTTGGTTTTAAACGGGATCTTTCTTTTCTTTCTTTCCCCTTGGTACTCAGTGCGGTGGGTAGCTCTCAGAGACAAGCTGATGGAGCGAGCTGAGAGCCGGGAACAGGCCAGACAAGGAGCAGGCAGACAACGGCACCGAGGCCGTGCCAGGCAGGTGGGTCATGTTTCACATTCACTGAGAGCCGTCAATGGGCCGAAGGGCCTGTTCTGTATTGTTGGACTCTCAGAGACTCTATCACTGTTAATGTTCCTGTTAAACATTCACAGGATCCTGATATCCGGTTGTCCAAAACCCTCTCCTACATCCTCCGACATGGAGCAGCTGAGTTGGGATTGGTGATGGGAAAAGGTAATGAGTGGCCTCCAGATTGAGACGATAATGAGGGGAGGGAGAGAGAGATCCCATTGGGATGGAGAGACTGAGGGTAATGGGATACTGAATGAGAAGTAATGTCGGATAACAATGTGACTCATATAAAATATGGGTGTTGGGAATATTGGATGTGGTTTTGGAAACAATGGGATATTGTGGGATATGGGGAGTGGGGATATGGGATGGGGGTTAGGGATAGGGGCTACAGAGATTGATAATGTGGCTCATGGGGGTTGGGGATATGGGATACGGGATACGGGGGTCTGGCGATGCGGGCTATGGGTGTTGTGGATATGAGATATGGGGCTTGGGGAT